TCAAACGACCGAGAAAAATCCGAAACAAAGCTGAAACATAGTAAAAACAGCATCTAAAACCTTCTTTTTACGCATGTAAACAAGCGTAATCAGCATCCTTGCGTAATATGGAAGTTCAGATGGGCCAATTGGCAACAGAATTGAAAAACAGGATAAAGGAGCACTACCGAGCGATACAGAGCAGCCAAAACATATAGAAACGAGCAATGCAAGGCTTGAACGTTGAGACGGAAGGGCCCTACCACTGGCGTATCAGTAAGAAGGAGTTAACGAGGAAGGGGAAGTTAGACCATAAATCCTCGAGGAAACAGAGCAAACGACACAGTCAGATGAATTAGTGAGTGCCGAGGGAGGCCCAAGTATAGAGCAGCTGAGAGACAATGAAAGCCCAACACAAATTGTAGACTCAAAGCAAAAAGAGTATGGGAAGAAGAGCACCGAAGGGTCATCTAAATAAGACAAAACAAATGCATTCGCATCCAAGTCAGCACAAATGCATTCGCATCCAAGTCAGCTGAGAAGCAGGATCTTCTACAAAAGCTCCCTACTCCAGAGAGTACTACGAAATATGTCCCTATAATACCATATCCGAAAAGGCTGCAGAAGAAGAATTAGGAATGGAAGTTTAAACGATTCCTTGAAGTGCTTAAGCAGATACACATTAACATCCCACTAGTGGAAGCGCTTGAACAAATGCCGACTTACGTGAAATTTTTGAAGGATGTCCTCACTAAGAAGTGCAGACAATGAGAATTTGAAACTGTTTGCTTGACAAAGGAGTGTAGTACAATTCTGACCAGTAAAATTCCAAAAAAAATGAAGGATCCGGGAAGCTTTACAATTTCGGTATCCATTAAAGGTCATAAGATTGGACAAGCACTGTGCGACCTTGAAGCAAGCATTAATTTAATGCCACTGTTAGTGCACAAGAGGTTGGGCATGAGAAAAGTGAGGCCAACTACAGTCACATTTCAGCTAGCAGATCGCTCAATTGCAAACCCTGAAGGAAAAATCGAGGATGTACTGGTACAAGTGGATAAGTTTATATTTCCAACTGACTTTATTGTTCTTGATTTTGATGCAGATGAGGAACTGCCAATCATCCTAGGGAGGCCATTCTTAGCCACGGGGCGTGATTTAATGGATGTGCATAAATGTGAAGCAACGATGAGAGTGTAGGACCAAGAAATCAAATTTTCAGTGTATGACTCCATGAATTAATACCCTTCAGATGCTGTGGAGTATGTGGTCTTGCGAGTGTTGGATGAAGCTGTGATGGAATCGCTCAGTGCAGAGACAATGTTGGAGCAGCATAACAGTGAAGTGGATAATATGCTGGATAAGGTAGATGAAATATGCCAAGAAATCCTCTACTTGGACTGCGAAGGAGATTTAGCAAGATCATGGTCAATTGTTCACGAGAGCTTGGAATTAGAGGACATCAAATGTAAGCAGTTGAAACCATCTTTCGATGAGCCACCCGAATTGGAGTTAAAAGCCCTCCCGCAACATTTAAAGTATGCTTACCTCGAAGCATCCAACATGTTGCCTATTATAATTGCTGCAAATCTAACTACAGAAAAAGAAAACGAGTTGCTGGCAGTGTTGAAGGAGCACTGGAAAGCCATTGGCTGGACAATCGCATATATTGTGAGGATAAGTCCCAGTTATTGCATGCACAAGATTGTTTTAGAAGAAAATTGCAAGAACTCAGTAGAACCACAAGAGAGGCTTAACCCTGCGATGAAGGAAGTTGTAAAGAAAGAGATTATAAAGTGGCTAGACGCTGGAATTATATACCCAATCTCAGACAGTGAATGGGTGAGTCCAATGCAATGTGTTCCGAAGAAGGGGGAATGACAGTGGTTGAGAATACTAAAAATGAGCTAATTCCCACCCGGACAGTGACTGGTTGGAGAATATGCATGGACTACAGGAAGCTTAATAAAGCTACAAGAAAGGACAATTTCCCGTTGCCTTAATTGATCAAATTCTCCATAGATTAGCTGGGTAGGAGTATTACTGTTTCCTTGATGAATACAATGGATACAACCAGATCACTATTGCGCCTAAAGACCAAAACAGGACAACATTTACATGCCCGTATAGAACTTTCGCCTTTAGGAGGATGCCCTTTGGTCTGTGCAATGCTCCAGCCACATTTCAGCGCTGTATGATGGCTATCTTTTTGGATCTAGTTGAATTACTGGTAGAAGTCTTTATAGACGACTTCTTAGTAATCGGAGCAAGCTTTGTTGAATGTTTGTCTATCGAACCTTCAACGGGTGCTGCAGCGTTGTGAGGAGACTAACCTAGTGCTTAGCTAGCAAAAGCGTAATTTTATGGTACAAGAGGCATAATGTTAGGTCATCGAGTTTCCAAAAAGGGATTGGAAGTAGATAAAGCCAAGGTTGAAATCATCAAGCAGTTGTCGTCGCCAGCTAACGTAAAGGGAATCCAAAGCTTTCTCGACCATGCAAGGTTCTAACGACGTTTTATAAAGGTTTTTTCTAAACTCGCTAAACCTTTATGTGCATTCTTAGAAAATGATAGGGTGTTTGATTTTTCTACTGACTGTTTGCAGGTATTCTCTACATTGAAGTATGCACTCACCCACACTCTGATTATTTAATCCCCAGATTGGAAGCTTCTGTTCGAGCTAATGTGTAACGCTAGTGATTCTGCAGTAGGAGCAGTGTTAGCGCAAAAAAAGGATAAATTGTTACATCCAATCTATTATGCCAACAAGACACTGATAGAGGCTCAGATTAATTACACCACTACAAAGAAAGAGTTGCTTGCGGTGGTGTTCACCTTTGAAATGTTTAGAGCCTACCTGATGGGAGAGAAAGTGATAGTCCACACTGATCACGCTGCTTTGAAATATTTGCTAACCGAGAAAGATGCAAAGCCAAGGTTGATTAGGTGGATTTTGCTGCTACAGGAATTCGATGTAGAAATAAAGGATAAAAAGGGGTCAGAGAACTTAGTAGCCGGCCATTTGTCTAGGATTGTAGGAGCAGACTAGGGTAAGATAGCTGTAATCATCATAGATAGCTTTCCAGATGAGTAACTGCTCACCTTGTCGCATAAGGATGATAAAGAGGAAGAACCCTGGTTTGCAGATATTGCAAATTTCTTAGCAGGAGGAATACGTCTAGAGGGATGGACAAAACAGTAGCTGAAACGGTTCTTCCATGAATGTAGATTTTATTATTGGGATGATCCCCTCTTGTATAGATTGGGGCAGGATAATAAAATTCGGAAATGTGTCACCGAATCGGAAGCATCCCAGATATTGAAGAATTGCCATGCTGCCCTTTATAGGGGACATTTTGGTGGACAAAGGAAAGCAGCCAAGGTGCTCCATGTTGGATCGGTATGGCAACACTAGGGGGTGGATAGTGTTGAAAATCACTTTACTAAACTTTTTCGAATTTAAGCATAAATCAAATAACCAAGTAAACTTTTTAAACAAAAGCAATTTATGCAATATTTATAACAACTCAAAATATCATGAAACAAATATTCAAGATGAGCACAATATATATTTGTAATAAAATAAAATATCATTAAAAGATAAATTGCAATAAATAAAAAGT